GTGCAGGGATATTAATGTAGCCCTAATATCGTGTTGTAGAGTGCACGGGACATTAATGTAGCCCTAATATCGTGTTGTAGAGTGCACGGGACATTAATGTAGCCCTAATATCGTGTTGTAGAGTGTGGGGGGACATTAATGTAACCCTAATATCGTGTTGTAGAGTGTGGGGACATTAATGTAGCCCTAATATCGTGTTGTAGAGTTCAGGGGACATTAATGTAGCCCTAATATCGTGTTGTAGAGTGCAGGGATATTAATGTAACCCTAATATCGTGTTGTAGAGTGTGGGGGGACATTAATGTAACCCTAATATCGTGTTGTAGAGTGTGGGGACATTAATGTAACCCTAATATCGTGTTGCAGAGTGCGGGGTGCAGAAGTTGTCGAGCAACACCATCACTAAGCGCATCATCGGAGGCGATGAAGCTCACTTCGCTGAGTTGCCGTGGCAAGCACACATCAGGATAGCTGGGTACCAGTGTGGCGGCGTGCTTGTCAACCGCTACTACGTCGCTACTGCCGCTCACTGCGTACACAAGTCAGTAACTTGAGTAGTTTAATTTTAATTTAATCGTTGTAGGTAGTAGTTTATTTAAATTCAATAATTGTATGTATTGTTTTAAATATTCAATTGATGTGATATTAATTAATTTGTTTCTGTTATTATTGTTTGTGTTATTTAATTGTTATAATTGTTTTGTTGGCCTAACACCGATTCTTAGCCCCCAGCTGGGATCCTAGCCTCGTATCCTAGCCTCGTATCCTAGCCTCGTATCCTAGCCTCGTATCCTACCCGAGTATCCTAGCCGAGTATCCTAGCCGAGTATCCTAGCCGAGTATCATAGCCGCGTATCATAGCCGCGTATCCTAGCCGCGTATCCTAGCCGAGTATCCTAGCCACGTATCCTAGCCACGTATCCTAGCCGCGTATCGTAGCCGCGTATCCTAGCCCCGTATCCTAACCGAGTATCCTAGCCTCCACACCACACGAGATTGGACACTCGAAGACTCGACTCATCATCTAATTTCCATCTGTTACGGAGCAATTAATTGGGACACAAGGAAAATATAAGGGATAATCAATAATTTGTCATATAAGAAATCTACATTCGTGCAAAGCTTATGTCCTAATGATATGAGAAGGGTTTCGATAAAATTATTTCCTTCCTCTTATCATCTTGATTACAATAACTTAATTAAAAATATCAGGAATACGTTGCTTTTCCTGTCGGACAGCACCTTATCATATAATTCAATTTTTGAATCAATCTTCTTTACTTTGCCGCCTTCTTTCAAAATATTGAAGCTTATAGATCAGTAAACTTCGCTTGATATATAATGAGAATATCGAATGAGATGACAAAGACTGTCTTATTTTAATTATGCCCAAAATATTTCATTGGCCAAAAGCTGAAAATGACTAATTTACACGGCTTGATCGTCAAATCTCGATATGAAGTCCCTCAGAACTAACGATTATTTAGACTAATGCAACATTGATCCTTTATTGCATTAAATTCGACCCATCGAAACTGAATAAAAATTAAAAACTGTACGGGGATGTTCTAAATTTTTAAAATTGTTATTGAATAACAACCCTCATCCTGCCTTGACCTGCCCAGTCGAGTGCAAATGGCGTGTTTATGGACATGATCTTATCGTCATTATCAGGCTCTATCACTATCGTGATTGCACATGCTTTTCTAGCTTGTGTCGTCAGTCATGTGACCTTCATGTTATACTTGTAATGTCCAGATATCAGAAAACTCGATTATTACAATATTCATTACACCAATTGGCTCTGCACGCTCCTTTCTGATAACATTTTAGCTGAAAATTTATTATCTGAAATTTGTTTATGAGGAAAGAAAATCACAAAATTTTTCATGTATTGTCGTCGAGAAGTTAACAGACTGGACGATACTTACACTTCTTTAAACAGATCGCGACTGGACGATACTTCTGAGAATCATAATTATTGGTGATGTAGAGATAGAAAAGCGGTGCGTGGAGTAAAATTAATTTCGATATTAAGACGAAAGAAGTTAGTTGGCGTTTTTATATATCATTTTAGTACATTTTTTTATACTCCGTTGACCTCGGAATACTTCTACACTGAATACTTATACATAGCCCAATGGTGATAGAGTATTCAAGAAGACAACTTATTCGACGTATTTTTATGTTTTCCAGTACTATAGTATTCTGTCGTCAATGAACAACACAATTTCAAGTAACAATTACTATTGCTAATGGCAATTCCAATACCATACACTGATATTTTCAATACCATCAAATTTTTTTTACAATTCCGTCCAATGCTCTTCCCAATACTATTTAATAATATTTCGTATACTAGTCAATAGACCAATAGTACTATTTCTTTTATTATCATATGTTTTTTACAGTGCTGTCCAATGATCTTTCCAATACTAAATAAAAGTATTTCTTATACTATCCCATCCAATTTTCAATAGTATTGCCAATGCACATGTTTGGAAATTTTGATTAATTATCTGTATGGGTTGTGTATCTACAGAGCAAGACTCCGGGACATCACAATTCACTTGGGGGAGTTCGACACGAAGGATACAGGACAGCACTACGAGCCTTACCCCAAGGAATCCTTCGGAGTGGTTGAGAAGAGAACGCATCCTAACTTCAAGTACATGCTCACTCAGCCTGACCGGTGAGTCTCATCGGTTAGGGGTAATTACCCTCTAGATCTGGGGTAATTCGTCAACGATTGGGGCTAATTACCAACTGGGACTTAAGTCAGTCTGTAGCTATATTGATTTAGTATCGATATTGAAAACGTTTTCAATATCGATATGATGAATTTGCTTGGCGTTTTCTTTGCTTTTAAATTCCTTTTAGTCACTAGTTCCACTATCCAAAACTATGAAATTTCGATAGCCAAATTTTTTAGTAAAGCATTTTTAAGTATTATTTCGAAAATGGCACTACGAAAATGTCTGGGGGTTTTTGCTTAAACCCATCATCCTCCCGATCGCCAATGAATGAAATAAAAATATAATTATGATAATCGTAAAAACCTACTACGAACCTCGTTGGCCCGGCAGGTTCGACGTGGCGGTGCTGATGTTTTCTCAACCGCTAAAAATTTGAAATAAAATATATCCCAAAAAGCATAAATATCTTCTACGAACCATATTTCCCCGGCAGGTTCGACGTGGCTGTGCTGAGGTTGTCACGCCGCGCGACCTACCAGCCCAACATTGTGCCCATCTGCCTGCCGCCCCCCGGCGACCACTTCCCAGGGGCCATCGGTATAGTCGCGGGCTGGGGCAAGACGGATAACAGTTATGGTGCGTTTATAGACGTCAAATATTGAGAAACTAATGAAACATTTCTATAAATCTTACGCGCTGACGGACTTGATAAAATATAAGTACCGTACTAATAAGTTATTCATTTTTACATGGCTGTGAGCGATTCACGCACTATCATATGAGTAAAATATGTAAGAAGAATTAGTCAAGCCATTATTTATTTAAAGAAATGCTTTAGTTTCATTTTTCTGTGTTGTTTTTACTTTGCTAGTGGACTGGTATAACTCTGACACTTGCGTATAGGTCAATTGAGCTCTGCCATGCTTGAAGGTTAGTTTCATGTATGTAGAACACAAATTAAACTCATTTTAACTCAGTCATTTCATGCAACGGCAATATACAATTTCGTTCTAGTTTAAGTCTTTGCTAACCCTCATCTGAAGCAAAAATATTCCAGAAACTTGTAAATGTTTCATGCCAAACAATCACGACTTATTGATGGAATAAACATCTAAGCGGTAGCAAGCTACTTAGGACTAACATAACCTGGCTTCAATTTTTATATTTGCAGGTAAAACAGGAACGAACATTCTACGCAAAGTCATGGTACCAATTATCGACAACCAGGAGTGCCTGAGATGGCATCACCTGAAGAACATCGACGTGAAGCTCCACTACGAGATGTTCTGCGCTGGACACGCGCAAGGGAAAATGGATGCTTGCTTGGTGAATAAATAATTCGATTCATATTAAATATAAATGTATTTAAAGTTGTAAATTTCACGTGAAATATGATAGTAGATTGCTTACTAAGGTTCAATTAGTTGTGAATAATAATTTTGCGCAGGGAGACTCGGGCGGACCTCTTGTGGTAAACAACAAAGGCCGATGGACGCTTGCGGGCATAACGTCGGCGGGCTTTGGATGTGCCGTTGACCACCAGCCCGGCATCTACCATAAGGTGGCCATCACTTCCGGCTGGATAGCTGCCAATGTCCGGCCATAAGGTGGCCATCACTTCCGGCTGGATAGCTGCCAATGTCCGGCCATAAGGTGGCCACCACTTTGGGCTGGATAGTCTGCCAATGTCCGGCCATAAGGTGGTAATCACATCCGGGTGGATAGCTGCAACCCTTTTAATTCTGGCTGGATTGTTTCCGATGTCAAACACCGAGATCTTTCGAAATTTTATTAATTTAATAACGGGGACGAATTGAATAACGTGAATCGATTTTCCGATTTTCATCCATTTTTTACTCGTGATCAGAATCAACCGCTTGATTTCAGTATAGGCTCGGTAAATTTTGGCTCGTTCCAACACCAATACCAAAGGAATTTGAAGTATGGTGCAAAATATTGGTCGATGACATCATTAGTTCTTGTGATAAATAGAGATATAATTGTTATAACAAAAAGTAATTTTTGTTAGTTGTCCAGACTCGTTTCCGTGCTTCAAATTTTCATGGAGACGCCATATATATGGCAATGTTCTCGACTCCGTGATAATCGCCTCGTAAGAACCGTATATTTTGGTAGAATTATAATTTTAATTGAATAATGTTTGTATTCTAGCACCTGTAAATAATATTATGACTTAAATGATTATGTCCCTGCAAATGTATTTTAGTATATTCACATTCATGTACGGAATACTGAATAATTTTGAATCTGAACCCCATAACAAATGCGTGAAACTGTATGAATGAAATGTCTTAAGCCTATAAATATAGAGCAATAAAAGTTGTTAAAAAAGAGAAGCAGGTTTTTTTACCATCACAGTTGTTGCATAAGAAGCTTGGAGAGTAAGCTTTGATCTTAAAGTTTCGCCTCGTCCATCCAAATGAGAATTAAGTGTGTCGCATCTCAGACAAATCCGGGATCACTTTTCTTGATTGTCCTTAATTATTAAAGCTTGTTCCAAGTTTAATTTCCGGCGCACAATTTCTTAGAAATTTGAAAAGATAATTGCGTGAAATATGAAAATTCACGAACGAGTTCAAAATTTAAAACTGGTATGCTCCATATTTATCTACAATTTCAAATTATGTCGGGAAAAGGGCTATGGTTGAGAAGGAGCTATCTAAACAACACATGTTAAACGTTCAGCGAATTCAATGAAATCTAATCGTGAAGTGATGGACAATTTTAGGACCCGATTTACATGAAAAGTGACTAATTAACACTGCTTGATCGTTAATCCGTTTACGAGTGTAATTAGAATGAAAGTGATTATCTAATTCCGAAGCACCCGGATCAACAGTCTTTACTCTGCGTAGCCATCAAGTCTAGAATTTAATTAAAATAACATTCAATGAAATTAAACGCTCGTTGAGATGAAATTCTATTAGAAGTTTTCGATAAGAAGCAATAACTGTTATTGTTCTGATTATCTGGGCCAGTGTATGTGTAATTTTGATTTTCCTGCTCTACAAGAGCTTCCTGTAACAATTATGGACCATTTGCTCCAACTACTTTCTATAACGATCAGTTTGTTTAGAACAAAGTGATTTAATAAAATTTATTATTATTATTATTGTTATTACCTTTGTACATCCAACTGGTGTTCAAGCAGCACTTAAAATAAGTAGGAACATTTGGCAAAAAAACATTTTTGATGAAAAATAGCTTGTAGCTTGATGCATTAGTTAATTAGTAATTGCATATAAGAGATTTAAACCTATTTTGGATTTGATATTTTCCCGACATAATTCAGTCCCGACATGCAAAACGATTGAGAATACTATAACAGATCTATATTCCGAAATATGTGCTCCTGATCTTAATCAGTTTTTTTTTAAATAACTCTATACCCTGAATAATTTCTCCGATTGTTTCTCGGTTCACAAAATGTGAAAGGAAATTTTCATGTTGTATGTCGGTATGACAAAGTCATTATGAACATTTGAGCAAATTTGTGACGGATTGATTTTTCTGTTACAAGTTTTGTTGAACCAAGATTGAGTTCTATGCAGCGTCATGTTATGAATCCAGCTTGGATGTTAATCAGGAAATAGTTCTTTGTGTGAAAATCATTTATTTTGTCCATATTTTCCTAGCAGTTACACGTGTAAGATGAATTCTCAAGCAGAAAGAACATTTCGTGGCAATTTTTCATGTATATTCAACCTCTTATTAGATTTTCATTTCCTTAATTGTCCTATGTATTTTGTAAAAAAAATATAAACGATTTTTTCATTTTCTATCCAACATACGATAAGTTTAAATCTTTCAAAGATACTAAGATTTTCCCTCAACTACGGTGTTGAAATGGAAACATTTGAAAAAGTACTTGCCGAATTGTTATTTGCATCTATGTTCTCCAGAATAATATACTTCAGTACTAACTACATCATTTTCAGCATTCACATCTGTTAAATGTTATTAGTATCACAGTTTATGTGTTTTTTCAACCAAATCATTTGTTTACCTGCTTGTCCACTCATCCACATACCAATCGTATTTCTTCTGCAATATTTTTTAACGGCAAACTCGGGACGAAATAACAAGTTCGTTCTGGCGTCACTCAGATACAAGCCTAGTGATGGGTAGGGAAGATTTTCCTTATCATGATAAGGCTCATGTTTTTATCATGTTATTGATCATATCTTCAAAGCTTAGATGCTGAGTGCCAACATAAGTGAAACTCGAATAATGGAATTCCCTTCATTCCTCCATTAAATTATTCCATATTACATTTTTGGAGCCATCGTGCGTTAAAGTCAAAGACCTACACTGCAGGTAAAATCTAGCCGCTGTCTTTACGAAAAATTTCGAAAATCAGTCAAAACTTAAAAATCTGTAAAGATATCTGTAAATCTTGTTTAAGATTTCGGTATCTTCGGAATTCGTTAAGAATTTCAGAAATTTTTTGGTTCGATAATTTCACATAATGTATGACAAGCATGACGTTCTTATATACCTGACATTTTTTTTTGTGTGTGTGTGAAAATCATTTATTTTTCATGGGAAATCATGGGAATATTTGTGTGAAATCATGGGAATATTGACATTTTAACTGCCATTTTTTAAAGACATGCTATTTTATGAATTTTGTAGAATTGTGAGTCATAAAATACTGAGTTATGAGTCATAAACTAATTATCTTATGAAAGGATGATAATAATCCGTTTGTATGAATTTTTTGACTGATATGAGCAACTGTATAATCCAACTAATCTATTAATCAGCGCCAGATTCAATGGAAGTACCGGTTATCAAGTAATCTCACTGCTAATTATAAATAATCAATGGAGTGTCAGTTCTTATCATCAAGAACCATTGAGCCCATAAAGAGAAGGAAGTGATTTTAAGTTTCATAATTAAATATCTCAATTTAATTGACTAAGCTTGAAATATTATCATTTAAAATGAGTTTGCATTGTCTACAATAACTCGCTAATGAAGCAGTTACTAATTTATAATATAAGAATTATTCATCAACATATTTGGCCGAAGATGCTAGCCAGCAAAAGAAAATTAAAATTTGAATGAAAAAAAATCCGAAAAAAACTTAAATAATATATGCTCTCAAATCTCTCATCGATGGAGACAGATATACAAATATAGCTAACTTGTTTTAATCGATATTGCTGAGAAAATAAACATCTTAAGCTTCATTATGATAAGATACCAATCAACATTAGCTGAGTTCTCGAGATAAGCGCCGAGTTTATTAGACAGGAGTTAGTTCTTAGAGTGGAGGCTCTTGGACATACCAGATAACAGCGGCGGCACCAATTGGGCAGCTGAGTCCTGTTCTTCAGTGCTGCTCTGAACGCTGTCATGAACGTGATCTACTTCACACGCCTCTTCTCATGTTTTATTATTATAGTGTATTTATATACATATCCAACTCTATTTATTCATTGGTTACATATTTTATTAACTTAACTTTTTCCAGCATCGAGTTTTGTCTTCTTCAGTCTAATGTTTTGCCCCAAGTTCTCGTGATAAATAATTTTTCTTCCTGATTTCCTGTAGCCAAAATTAAACGCAGATCCGCTACTACAAACCGAGAATTTAAATAATATTTCGGTCAACCGTCAATAGCATTCAAGTTGCGTTGATTCTTTAATTTGAAAATCCAATAAATTGGCTGCCGAAGTGATGCAAAATTATAGGTTCTTAATTTTTTATTTATATTGTTGATTTTTTTACTGTTTATCCAAAGGTCGCTCGACCGAGTATTACCTTATTATAATAAATGTGTACATACGGAGTGAAAATTGTGACGAATAAGCTACTGAGCACTGGTTATTGCAATACCGTCACGAAATCAAATTATTTTATGACACACATACTTTGAACGTAAGTCAAAATCAATCTGTTTCGCATCACAAAAAAAATCCATTTACTCAACAATGCGAAGAAGTAGAAAGTGTCCGAAGCAAACATGATAAGTAGAATTTGTACCTTACTCCTACTGCTTATTTTATAAAAATATTCTTAGTATTCACTCGTGAACTGTGAACTGCAGAGTGCCATCCATTTCTAAAACGAAAATATACTCTGAGAAAAATTAGTGCGCCTTTGTTCGAAAAGCGATGCATTTTTCCCGTATGTGTGTCATCCTGACCCAGTTTATCCCAGCAAAAGGTTGTATCAGTGCTACGGCCCTCCATGCTCAGGGTGTGCGCAAGAACGTCAATCAATATTTGATCACACTGGCCAATTCACTCTATACATTGATTGAATTAATATATTTAAATTGTTGTGCAACAATTTCAGGATAGGGGGTCCGGAAAGCCACTAAAGTATTTCTGTTGAATAATTCATCATAAGTAACAAATCTTGTTACTAGTTTTCAAACCGTCTAATTTCTTCAGAAAGCTGAATTTATAGTTCAACATTGGTGCATATGATGACGCCGAAATGTGAAAAAAAACAAGAATTCTGAAAAAAATTACCAGCTTTAGTAATTTTCCTTATACACTTTGTAGGTTTTCCTAACAAAGATGTAATTTCTTTTTACGCTAATTGCCTGTCATCGACGACAACCCCATATCCATACGAATATAAGTAACTGCATTAGTTGGTAAATGAATTATTAACTGATATATCATGTATACTATATTCTACTATCTGTATAACCTTTCTCATCTTATTAGTATCTCAGTATCTTATTCTATCTGGAAAAATCACATTAATTCTATAAACGAAATTTCTTGTACGTGATCTTGGTGTAAATTTTATCTAAGCTTTATATTTTTCAGCAGGTTTGCATGTAGCCTTTACAATTTAAGTTCATTGGGATATCTTCCTTGAACCAAACATTTTTTTTATTTTTCAGCCTTCAAAAGAATAGTCTCCTTAATTTCATAATCGGTAAGTTCAGTAAGTTTAAAATAAATCCAAAATTTACATTCAAAAGTTCAGTTCATGATTATAAGCTATTCAGATCAAAATCATAAGTTTAAATAGAAGTATTTTTCACTGACTTAACTTCAGGTAACAAGTTGTTCACAGAATTTTATCGTAATTTCGAATTAAAATTCATTTAGCGATACTACAGGCATTGATCTGTGCCTGTGTGAGCTTGGTTATCTCGTCACTATCTTTGTCAAAATTTTTGGTAATTTCCTACATTTTTTAATAGTTAGGTGTAAATTGTAACCATGTATTTTTTACATTAAGGCGAAACATTTATACGTGAAATATTTGGATCTTGATACCTTAGATCTCTATTTTCTCGATATTTAAATTAAATCAATAATCTATTTGGAATATTTCGCTATTTGATTATTCAAGATATCTCGAATTTGCATAAATTGAATGTCAATATCAGTATTAATGAATAGATTAACATAAAGGAATCTTTTAATTAGGAGTAAACGTGGTTTATAGGCTTGCGCTGAGCACGATAACGACATAACGCCTTCATGTGAATGTTATCATTTTTAATAATTTTCGTATTGTCATGATGAATGGAATGTGTGCCTCGTGTAATCTATAGTGCTGTGGATTTACACAACTGGAAACGATGGGATAAGCTAAGACTGAAATATTGGTAAGATAAAATATTTCGGAATTGAAGCAAGCAATTTGAATGTCGCAATACTTAATGGAGTTGCACAGCCGAATTTCTTAAATTTAGCGGCCGTGAAATAAATCACAAAGTTATCATTATTCTAAGTACACTGACTTAATATCATCCACCCTTGATTTCACCAAATAATGAGCATGGCTGCACAGACTGCGTCAGCATTAAGTTCTGATGTTATAAATAATGACCATGGCTGCACAGAACTACCTCAGCATGATTTTCTGATGTTATAAATAATGAGCATGGCTGCACAGACTGCGTCAGCATTAAGTTCTGATGTTATAAATAATGACCATGGCTGCGCAGACTGCGTCAGCATGATGTTCTGATGTTATAAATAATGACCATGGCTGCGCAGACTGCGTCAGCATGATGTTCTGATGTTATAAATAATGACTATGATTGCACAGAGCTACGTCAACATGAAGCCAGGATGGATGAAGTGTCTGCTAATAGGCGGCGGTGTGATGGTGTTGGTGTTCGTCGTCCTCATGGCGTCCATACAAGCCATCTTCGTGGCCACCGTCGAAGGGGTGACTATAAAATAATAGAAAAATTAGTGAAAATTGTTCCGGTGATTATTTTTAAAGTTTCAAAGGTTCAATAATAAACTTAGGTTTTATTATAACAGTAAATATGTTAATATTAGGATAATGTTTCTTGTTAATAAAAGTTCCCCAAACTTCGAAACAATTTAAAGATGAGGGAAAAGTGTTGTGGATTTTGCTAGTTATATTTCAATTGAGATGTCACATTAAGGTCTCTTAATTGCAGCAATATTTTAGTAATTAATAAAATAAAATACCTCTCTATTCATCTAGCTCACGATTTCATATGAAAATCACAAATAAATACGGTAATGGTTAATGTCAAAGTAAAAAAAGCAATTACTGAAATAAGACCGTGACTTCATTCCAGCACTAATATTTTTCAGGCATTGAATATTACAAGTTGATCTACTCATTGGATCAATGGTATTTTATTAAATTAAACATTTCAATTTATTGATGCGTATGAGTACAATATGTATGAGTACAATATTTTGAACATTCTATTGCTAGTTTGTTGTTGACACATAAATGAAAATAATTATTTTAATTAAAAGTTTGGTTGACACGTGTTCTGATCTAAGGTATAACCTGTATAAAGTTATACCTTAAGGTATACCTCATCTAAGGTATAACCTTTATATTTTAAGCAAAAATGCCGATGGTTCATCACGCAAGATGTCGTTTATAATTATGGTTTAATCCCGCTTTTGTATTTAATCCCTTCAACATACTTTACAGACATAGGAAATAAGTTTAAACTTTGAACGGTCGACAAAGCTGCGCACACGTTATAATGAACTTACATGAAGGTTTCTTATTTAATCTCTTTATTAAGCTCGTACTCTATATAATATTTGCATAGCTAACTCATTAACCCTATTACAAAATGTAACAAGGTTACAAAATCAACAAATCAAAGTGTACCTGAATTCTTTTTTTACTTATCTAAATAAAATTGTAAACAATTTCGACATATGAAAGAAAAATTCTCTTAAATTTCGCATGATCAACACAGATTTTCACCGTCATTAAGATATGCTGATAAAATTGTTGATATTTTCAGGAGTTGAAGTTACAGGATGAAAAGCCCATCATGGATGCGTTCACCGCCCCTCCTGTCTCCATCTTCATGAGCTTTTATTTGTTCAACGTGACGAACGCCCGCGACGTGCAGTACTATAACGAGACGCCCATACTCCAAGAGATCGGACCCTACGTATATGAGTGGGGAGACTCATAATTAATTATATATGAGTAGAGTCATACTTAATTATATAACAGTAGACTCATGTTTAATAATATATGATTAGACTCATTCTTAATTATATAACAGTAGACTCATGTTCAATAATATATGAGTAGGCTTATATTTATTTATATGTGAGTAGACTCATTCTTAATTTTATATGAGTAGACTCATCCTTAATTATATGTGAATAGACTCATCTTTAATAATATATGAGAGACGTTGTCGAATCTACGACTCAAATTATCATTAGTTTGGTTTGAATGAACTTTGGTTTGTCTCAGAACCTTCACTCCTCTTTCCACTTATTTCAACTTGTATAGCATTAATTGTCTTCTAATTCATCCGACTCGCCCAGCTATTTATTATGTTGTGTATCCACTACTGCTCTCTTTTTGGCTTCCTTAACCTACTGTTCTTATGGCATCTAGTTTATACGTTTCAAATTACTCATAATTTATATATATTATAACTAACTCCTTAATTCAATTCTCGCAAAATGATCATTTAACTCACCTCACATGCTCATAACTTATCCAGCTCACCTCACTTACTCATAACTCATCCAGCTCACCTCACATACTCATAACTCATCCAGCTCACCTCACATACTCATAACTCATCCAGCTCACCTCACATACTCATAACTCATCCAGCACACCTCAAATACTCATAACTCATCCAGTTCACCTCACATGCTCATAACTCATCCAGCTCACCTCACATGCTCATAACTCATCCAGCTCACCTCATATTCCTCATAACTCATCCAGCTCACCTCATATTCCTCATAACTCATCCAGCTCACCTCACATGCTCATAACTCATCCAGCTCACCTCACATACTCATAACTCATCCAGCTCACCTCATATTCCTCATAACTCCTTCAGCTCACCTCACATTGCACAATTTCCCAGAGAGTTTCGCGAGAAGTTCAGCATGGAGTTCGATGACTCAGGCAACGCCATTAGTTACAAGCAGAAAAAATACTACACATTCAGGGAGGACCTTAGTGGCAAGTGGAAGGAGAGTGATGAAGTGACAACACTCAACGTGGTGATGGTGGTGAGTTGTGATGGTGGTGAGTTGTGATGGTGGTGAGTTGTGATTGTTGTGAATTGTAATGGTGGTGAGTTGTGATGATGATAAGTTGTGACGATTGAAAGTTATGGTTTTGGATTTGTTGTTATGATCCATAATTATGTTGACTTATGATGGCAAAAAGTTGCATTGATAGTGCGTTGTGATGGCTGAAAGTTGTGATGGCTGAGTGTAATTATGCTGGTGAGTCAAGACGATGGTGATTCAAGACAATGATAAGTCAAGAAAACGGTGAGTCAGGAATTTAAAAGTAAAGCAATATAGCCAAAAAGTTCACCATTTCTTATAAGAGAAAACGTTTCGGAGTCCAGCTCCATCGTCAGTTCAAAACCTAGAACACAGGTACAAACAATTAGTAACCTAAAATTCACAACAAAACAATTCACCTAAACTTGAGGACATTAGAACTAAAATCGAAGATAACAGAAATAAAAATGATTTGTACCTGTGTTCTAGGTTTTGAACTGACGATGGAGCTGGACTCCGAAACGTTTTCTCTTATAAGAAATGGTGAACTTTTTGGCTATTTTCTTTACTTTTAAATTCCTGGTGAATTTGCGACTTAGGCAGCCAAGTGATTTTAATACTCATATCCGATCTAAAGACGGTGAGTCAAGATAGTGGTGATTCTTGAGTCGTTTCAGGAGCCAACGGTAACGGTACACGTACAGTTTTCGAAATAAACGAAGAAATGTTACCACCAGCGGCTGCCGAAACTCTCGGGAGATTAAGACGAACTTTTCGTTTACTTTCGAGTGCGCCGTGAAGCCCGAGTATGAAATCACCTATGAAATTTCTAGCTAAAATTTAATGTGTATTGAAATAATTTATTTCACTTCATATCTTAAAATTTTTCACTAACTCTAAAGGTATAGGTTTATACCTCTTTAATAATTTTAAATTGACACATAATACTATGTATCAAGATAAATTAATTAACAACAAACTAGCTCAATGATGATTTAAAAGCATATACGAGATATTTTATGCATATATACACATTAACTACGCATATATAGCCAAATTTAGCATTGGCTTTTCCAAAATATCATTGAATTTGAAAGAACATCCATTTATTTCACAGATGATGGCGGCTCTAGGTTACCACAAGACAGGGATAAACTTGATATGGCCAGAAATTGAACGTACGATGAACGTATTCGAGACGTTCACCGTAGGCGAAGCCTTATTCCAAGGCTGGGACTTGCCGAGCGACTTGAATTTCAACTTCAGCGGCACTGGCATCCCGGGAACAGAGAACATAATCTTTGAAGGCAGCCTGGGTGACATACTACTACAATTGGGTGTGGAAGAGGACCAAATCCCACCTCCCCTTATAGAAAACAAGATCGGATATTTCTCTCTAGTCAGTATTAATTTTTTAATTAATTAATTAAGACTTAATTAAAACTAATTAGGTAATTCTACAATTGGGTGTGGAAGAGGACCAAATCCCACCTCCCCTTTTAGAAAACAAGATCGGATATTTCTCTCTAGTCAGTATTAATTTTGTAATTAATTAAGTAACAATAATTTCATGTTCATATAAAGACAATTAATCTCTCTAGTCAGTATTAATTAATTAAGTAATTAATACTTAATTACAACCAATTATTAAATTAATTTCATGTTCGTATAAAGACAATTAATTTTAGATATGACCTCTTGATTGGTGGCTATTTTATGCCTTGTTTTTCAATCTACATATATTTTTATTCACTTATCAATAGGAAAATACATAAACTATTATATTTTAACCAAAAACAGTTCTATCTCTCACATTAAAATTATACTCATTATAATAACAAAATTTCTCCATTCATAACATCCGATTACTAATACAGCTCACAATTTCAAATTTTTCTAGTCATTTCATCCTATCTAACATTCTTCACCGCTGCCTAAATCACGATTTCTTATACAGCTCACAATTTCAAATTTTTCTCGCATTTCATCCGATCTAACATTCTTCGCCGCTGCCTAAATCACGATTTCTAATACAGCTCACAATTTCAAATTTTTCTTGTCATTTCATCCGATCTCACATTCTTCGCCGCTGCCTAAATCACGATTTCTAATACAGCCCGCAATTTCAAATTTTTCTTGTCATTTCATCCGATCTAACATTCTTCGCCGCTGCCTAAATTTATTTCAGTTGAACGATACGGACGACGGATGGTGGAAAGTATCAACAGGACGTGCAGACATGGACGAGTATCTGTACGTCCGCGAGTACCACAATGATACACAGCTGCACTACTGGAATGATATCTACTGTGACATGATCAATGGTACAGATGGTACTCAGTTCCCACCCTTCCGCATGGACGAAAACTCTGTCGTCAGGATATTCGTACCGCAATTATGCAGGTTAGAGCAGCTTATTAGTTTTAAATCAATGCTTATTAAAAATTGTATGCACTGGATGATGCAGGAGAAATTCGATGGAAATAAGCATTGCTTCCATCTTTATTTAGCGCCTAAAATTAAAATCCATAAGAGTTGTGTAGTTTCGTTCAAGCAGAGTTATGAGAGCTTCATTTTAACAATAATTCATCATCATTAAGCATGTAAAATAGTCCTGCAGCATTGTGTGCTCGAAGTACGGTTGGTACAGCACGGTTTTTTTCGCTACGCTAAGTTAAATTTAAAAAATTAAATTAAACCTGCTGTACGTAACGACTCCCGCCTCACATGTTGCTGTACCTGCTGTACGTAACGACTGTACCTCACAGGTCGCTGTACCTGCTGTACGTAACAACTAATACCTCACAGGTCGCTGTACCTGCTGTACGTAACAACTAATACCTCACAGGTCGCTGTACCTGCTGTACGTAACAACTAATACCTCACAGGTCGCTGTACCTGCTGTACGTAACAACTAATACCTCACAGGTCGCTGTACCTGCTGTACGTAACAACTAATACCTCACAGGTCGCTGTACCTGCTGTACGTAACAACTAATACCTCACAGGTCGCTGTACCTGCTGTACGTAACAACTAATACCTCACAGGTCGCTGTACCTGCTGTACGTAACAACTAATACCTCACAGGTCGCTGTACCTGCTGTACGTAACAACTAATACCTCACAGGTCGCTGTACCTGCTGTACGTAACAACTAATACCTCACAGGTCGCTGTACCTGCTGTACGTAACAACTAATACCTCACAGGTCGCTGTACCTGCTGTACGTAACAACTAATACCTCACAGGTCGCTGTACCTGCTGTACGTAACAACTAATACCTNTGGTCTGGTCCCCAGGTCCCCACTCTTCTCACCTCATGGTCAGGTCCCCAGGTCCCCACTCTTCTCACCTCATGGTCTGGTCCCCAGGTCCCCACTCTTCTCACCTCATGGTCAGGTCCCCAGGTCCCCACTCTTCTCACCTCATGGTCTGGTCCCCAGGTCCCTCTTCTCACCTCATGGCCAGGTCCCCAGATCCCCACTCTTCTCACCTCATGGTCTGGTCCCCATGTCCCTCTTCTCCCCTCATGGTCAGGTGCCACGGTTCTCACATCATAATCAGTTTCCTATTCTCTTCTCGCTACGTCTTCAGGTCCTCACTTTTTTCACAACGCAATCAACGCGCCATTTGATATCACGGCGCACTCAACTTCTTTCGTAACTCTGAAGGTCTTGCATCTTAGCTATATGTGCATCCTATATCGATGTGCATGCTATATCAACGTATACCCTCATATATTGTTGCCAACCCAACAGAAATCCCGATCATCATGTCTACGCCCCACTTCTACCAAGGGAACTACTCTGATGTAGACATGTATGTCGGCCTCGAACCAGAGAAGGAGTTGCACGAAACATACCTCGACCTCGAAACGGTGCGAATTTTTTATGGAAAATTTAGAGGACTATTAAGAAGAGTTACATGTACCAAAGAATAATGTCAACCTCACCTGTGACAGATAGAGTATGTTGACATGACAGTAGCTCTACAGAGGTTTGAGCTTTTTGTGAGAGGCCTACAGAGTTGAAGAAAAATGTATGTGTTCTACTACTTATGCCATTATTTTTATCACAATTTCCACATAATTTGAAATTTCAGAATCATTAATGATTTACATTAATTATGCATTCATTTACGAATAGCGTGAAATGCATTTACCAACCTTATCCGAAAAAAACTGGAACAATTTGCAACAACATTCTTATTCAACTGCTGCTATCGAATGCTAACTTTTCAAATTTGTTTCTTAATTTTAATAGAAAAAATAAATCTAGGAGCTTTTATAACAGTTTAAATCACTTTACAGTCGTTCGGAGTGCCTTTGGCGGCGCACAAAAGGATTCAGATCAACCTGCCACTGCGCAAGTTCGGCAAGCTTCCTTCCTTCCAAAACATCGACAGGGAATACAACTTTCCTGTCTTCTGGGCAGACGAGGTAGAAAATATAACTCAGTACTCACTGCAGTGGGTGACAGAGAGCGCATTTTCTCTTCGACGAAAACGTGAAGTCACGGACGGTCAGACAGAGAGACGGACAGACAGACGGACGGACTTGCCGAGCACAATAGCGCTTTTTTCCATAAATGAGAAAATGCGCTAAAAATACTTCAGCTAAAAATTGAAAATGCAACGTGGGTAATCTAAAATCAAATCTCTTCTGCCCGAGCTCTACTTGTATCCAGAAGTTGCATGCAATATATGCTGAAGTTCGAACATTAATTTGCACAGTTATTATTCATTTTCAACACTCATTTCATTAAGATGCATTTCAGCAGATTTTCTTGCTAAAGAGAGCCTTTGTCTTCCCAATTTTATTGCTGCGAAATATTTTTAAACATATTAAAGATCATGTTTTTCTTGTTCCATTTTTCAATAAACAATGCATAAATGTTAAAAATGCATAAATAATATAATAATGAATAATATAAGTAAATAATATAATAATAATAAATGCATAAATTTTAAATGTGTTGAAGAAAGATAAATGTTTTTTTTTCAACAGTGGGCTGAAGTTAGCAGCGACGACGCCAAGATGATTAAGTTAGGGCTGGACATTCCGATGATTGTCTACATCGTAGCAGGTCAATAATTCAACTGAGATATGAAATTTGATTAGATTGATATTAAAAGTCGCCTTCACATCCATCTGAAAATATTATTCACTAAAGCATCCCAGTGAATAATTCATCTGAGATACTATATACTGGATTAATTCCTTTGTTACAGGCATACTGACGCTCGTTGGCTGCACGATGATGGGCGTGGGTGGTTACAAGCGTTATAAACTCAAGGTGAGTCACTCATAAAGTGAGTCAACGTCACTCATGAGGTGAGTCAACGTCACTCATGATGTGAGTCAACGTCACTCATGAGGCGAGTCAACGTCACTCATGAGGTGAGTCAACGTCACTCATGATGCGAGTCAACGTCACTCATGAGGCGAGTCTACGTCATACAATCATAATGCCGGTTATCTTCACTCATTTAGCGAGTAACATTCCTCAAACTTAGCGTAAAATGACAAGAATTTCTTTCACAAACAATACCGAATTAGTATTATTCAAAACATTACGTGACGCTCTCATTATTTATTTTCCTGTTTTAGAAAATTTCAAGTTTATTTTCCTTTTTCAGAGATCGTCTGTGTAAACAACGAGCGGTGCCTATTCGACATCCAAAGGCGCCTTGCTTCTGTGCATTAAATATCTGAAAAGGAATGGCTTTATTAAATCTTAGATAAAATAAATTTTGTCCTGCCAGTATAGAAGTCCAGAAATTTATTTTTTTATTCCCATTTATTCAACAAACTCAATTCTTTTTCATGTACCGCGCATTCCTCGTAATATTCGGAGCTGAAGCGGCCTTCGAGTTATATCGTTCACAAAACTGTAGTAAATTAATTCTAATTACACAGCAGTAACATTGTATCAAATGCCTTGAAACGTAAAAACCATGACTGTTTGAAGAAGAAGGAAAATCAAAATAAAATATATTGGGTAAATATCAAATACAATCCAAAGTAGGAAAATGTCGACGCTAGCTTAATGTTAACCGTTGTTCAAAGTATCAAAATTAGAAATTCTACCAATGTCATTACAGTCTGTAAATTCATCGAAAAACTTCTTTTAGCTCCAAAAATGTGAATAATTGGCTAGGTATATCAGTGATTATAAAGTCGTAATGGACCTAAGCTGGTGTTTGTTTGTCCTAGGATATAGACAACTATTTAATAATAGACAGTTATTGGAATCATAACATTCACGTGTGCAACAGCATAAATACATCTTGAAATTTCATTAACTAAATAAGCAAACTTCAAGTTTTTGATTCGATTATATTGGTCAATTTAGTTCGTTGTCGTATTTAATAGTTTTAATTACTTAGTTTAGTTGGGGCCATTTTGTATTCATGTCTATCTTCTTTACATTACTCAATGGAATTATCAGATTATAAACAGAACTATTTTAGTGGTAAATCAATATTTCCACTTTAATAGTGATATTATTATAAACTATAACCATGATTTTAAGGGAAGTCTGAGGAGATACTTATAAAAAATTTATTATCTCGAGTACGTCTGGCAGCTTCCATACTGGCAGAAGCGCTGCACTCGTACGATAAGCATGTCAGCGCTCTCGAAATAGGCACTGCATTTCATAAATATTAGCCTATGTCATGCATAGTGAAAATTTAGTCAGGCTTATTAACAGCCAATGGAACGGGAAGGTTGAATTATTAATTGTTGAAATATGTCCATATTCTTATTTTGTTGTTGTAACAACAAATCTTTCGTAATCACAGATCAGGATTTTCCTAAATTTCAAGCCTATAATTTTCCTAACAACAATGATTCATGATTTTATTACCTTTTTTAGCTACATAGATTTATTGACAGTTCTAATCTTTGGTTAAAGCAGTCTTACAACTTGAGCCATGCAATTTCGTTTAATTCTTTTGATTTTATCTCAAGATCCCAAATATTGCTCGTGTTAATGCCAGAATGCAGGGCTAGCAAATACTGTCTGTATTCTAGGACCAATCACCTATTTTCTACCAACAATTAACGTCGCATTATTACATAGAAACTGGTTACGGTTGTCGAATATCAATTATGACATTATATTTTATTTCATAATATAATTCACGGGCATAGAAATTACCCAGGAATCACAAAGAAATTAGAAAATAAAGATATATAGAATAGAATTACCCTGAAATAGAGATTACCAAGAAACTGGTTACGTTTATCATACATCAGATATGACACTATATTTAGGAAGATGAATCACCTGCATAGGTGGCCATGAATCAATTCCAATTCTACAATTCATCTATGAATATTTTGTACTTAGAAAATATAATCGAAGAATATTTGATTACAAAATATTGAATTTCTGGTCATACATTTTGATTGCATAAATAAACAATGAATAATTTTATGTTGTTTTTTTGCGTCAGTTCCTAAAGTGGCCATATTTAGTTTGAGGCCGTAACCTTACTACCAGTATTTTAGTGGCCATATCTGCATAGTATTTACGTCTTTGTTATTCAAATTATGAACAAATTTGCGTTCCAGTCAGTATCGAATACAGATGATTTGCTCACTGATACATACCATTATGAGAGGATAGTATTGCAGCTTTTTAATTGGCATTTTACAGAAATTTTTAGCACAAGCATAAACGTAATTATTTTTACCTGTGTAATTTACCTTAATTTCATCAATTTAATTTAATTTAATCTAAGCCGCGTCAGCTTCTTGTCTATAAGCGCAAAGATCATTGCGAATAAAAGATGAAGAGAATACTTAAATTTATCGCAAAGTTTTAGAATTTATGTTGGCAAAATAAGGTATTGCATTTCTGCAATGCTTCCAATAATTGTAAATTAATTGTGTTCAACTAAAATAAGTAAAAAATATATCGAAAAAGCTGAGAAAAAGTTAGGCGTAAGATGACGACAGCAGCTGTGTCGTACAAACAAAAAAAAGAACGTAAAAAAGTCGGAAGGATGAACAGGAAATTACGGGATGCGCAAAACTCATCCGCGCGAGCGGAAGGGTTGCGCCGAACTGCGGAACAACGCACGGTTTCTTTCGCCAATTTTCTGCCGTGAATGCAGGCACGCTATAAGATGATTATTGGAAAATGTTTAACCACGATCACCCTAGTGACACGCTATAAGATGATTATTGGAAAATGTTTAACCACGATCACCTCACGATCACCCTAGTGACACGCTATAAGATGATTATTGGAAAATACTTGACCACGATCACCCTAGTGACACTCGATAAGATGATTATTGGAAAATGTTTAACCACGATCACCCTAGTGACACGCTATAAGATAATTATTGGAAAATGTTTAACCACAATCACCCTAGTGACACGCTTTAAGATGATCATTGGAAAATGTTTAACCACGATCACCCTAGTGACACGCTGTAATATAATTATTGAAAAATGCTTAACCACGATCACCCTAGTGACACGCTATAAGATGATTATTGGAAAATACTTGACCACGATCACCCTAGTGACACGCTATATGATAATTATGGGAAAATACTTAACCACGATCACCCTAGTGACACGCTATATGATGATTATTGGAAAATACTTAACCACGATCACCCTAGTGACACGCTATAAGATGATTATTGGAAAATGTTTAACCACGATCACCCTAGTGACACGCTATAAGATGATTATTGGAAAATACTTGACCACGATCACCCTAGTGACACTCGATAAGATGATTATTGGAAAATTTTTAACCACGATCACCCTAGTGACACGCTAGAAGATAATTATTGGAAAATTTTTAACCACGATCACCTTAGTGACACGCTTTAATATAATTATTGGAAAATACTTGACCACGATCACCCTAGTGACACGCTATAAGACGATTATTGGAAAATACTTAGCTATCTTAGGGGTTGCAATATAATCCTAAAAGTTATTATGGTGATTGTTGTGCTCAGGTTGTGTGGTTCCGATTTGCTCAAAACCTTTCCTCTACTGAAATTTTAGGGTGCAAATTATTCAATGTTTACAAAAATTTTGTGTATCAACTGCATTTTATATGAGATTATATCTAAATTTTACATTGTTCAACAACTTGATGTTACGCTTTTATACCTCAAAATTGAAAGTGAAAACCTAGTTTACCTTTCATTTTACACTTCCTGTACAAATATATAAATTTAAGTTATGTAACGATATTTACAAGAAATATAATAAATAATCGTGTTCTTCATATATATTTCGTTTCCATAATACCGTTATTAACTTGAATACATCTTGGGAAATCAATTTCAAATTTTTTGCTTAGATCTATTTCCAATTTACTACCCTAGTATTTAAAATTATTTAAAACCTATTTCCAATTTAATAGCTGAGCTATCTTTTTATAGGGTCGAGCTCGTTAGGAAACAACATATTTATCAGTGATATTAGTGGTGGCAGTGAAATAATTGTCGAGAACCATTCGAAAATCTCATTTCCAATTACTGCAGCCGTGTGTTTCATATTATTCAATTTTTTTCGTATAAATTAGCCTTCATAAAACATATACTACATGTTAACTTGGATATAGATTGCATGCGCGTCCATTGTTCAGCAATGAACTTAAACTGCGGGCATTATTTGATTAACCTTAAGAATGAGCGGCGAATTTTTATCTCAGACATCACAAACTTTCTTACAATTAATGCTGTATCATTTACTTCACTTCCTCACTCCCTCACTCCACTCCCTCACTCCACTCCCTCACTCCACTCCCTCACTCCACTCCCTCACTCCACTCCCTCACTCCCCGCATTACAATTTTTCCCCCCCGAATGTACATCAACGGTGTGTCCAGGGTGGCTGTTGCCAGAGCTCAATTATGCGACGAATTGCGTGCTAATTATCGTATGGCGAGGCCAACAATTATGGCATCGCTTTCATACTACGTCATTCTACTTAATTACCGAGATACTTGATGGTGGACTTCCATCACTTAGAAAACTTGACCGATTTCTAGGCGAAAACATGAGTGGTGAGAAATCGCCCTTCGGAAATACAAATTTTATCATTTGGCTGTAATTATCGAACATAATTTAAATCCCTCCATTAATAAATTAAATATATTTTCCAAGAATGTAAGAAAATTAGTAGTAATTATTGTAATTGTAGCCGGAATTTTATTGGAATGTAATATTTGAGTATATATGATTCGCTTCGACCACACAGTCCCATCATTATCGTACACAATTTAAATACCTGCACCAATACTTCAAATACATTATGCACCAATACATTACATTATAATGTAACAAAATTAGTAATAATTCTAGTAAGAGTAGCATGAATTTTATTCCAGTGTAATATATGAGTATATATGATGCTCCTAGACCACACAGTCCAGCAGAAGCGTGCTGAAGTGCCCGCGGCAGCAGGGAGCGTCGGAGCTATAATTATGTTGATAAAAAAATACGTGCGATCAGAGAACACGTGTGCGTGAGTGACGGCGCACGTGGTAATACGGGCACGTGATGCGGGGACCGTGACGCTCGTGGCACGTGGAATGTGGTAACGCGCGGCACATGGCATGTGGCACGTGGCATGTAGTAACGCACGCTCAAGGCACGTGGCATGTGGTAACGCACGCTCAAGGCACGTGGCATGTAGTAACGCGTGCATATTGTAATTATCTCCAACTTATCTCACTTAAGTTATCAATGTGTATCAACTAATTTAAGGAACTATTCTATCACTAAAATTGAATTGGATCTGTTGTTGACATATAAATTTCTATTAAATAATAATTTTGACTGGACTTCAGGGAAGTTTTAATTGAACTTGAATTTTTTTCAAGTGAACTGGACTTGGAAAGTTGAATTCTTGTCTGTCGTCCTCATATATGACTCAGCAAGAATGAACCGTAATTCCCCTCATTAACAGCTCATTGAACGACTCCCCTCACTTCCTGCCCTCGCCCTCTAATGAGATTACCTGCTCATCTTCCCCTCATTAGATCATCAATCATGTGATGGTTCCGGCCTTTTAATCTATGGTTGTTAATTGATGATAGGTTATCTTTCGTAGATTAGTCTTGTCGGGTTATTATCTAATTATATATTTCAGAATTGTGTGTCTGGAGGTTTGTCTATATGAATGAACCAATGAAATGGAAATATATCAAGAGCTATACTAAGGTGTACCCACAATACCTATTACGTTAAAATAGTAAAAGTAAATATTTCAGTAAAATTATATTATTTAACAGTATAATCAATAGGCGAATGAAATTAATCAACCATCCATTAATCAATCAAGGTAATGCTATGTAAACTCGTTACCTAAGAGCTCACCACGTGATTATATTAGTAAAATGGCATAAAGATTGGTATAAAAACTGCTAAATAATAATTATTGAATAACAGTTCACTGAGCATCACAAATAACTTTCGTTCCAATCATGTGACATGTTACTCAAGTTATCACCAAATTACTCTGAATACCATATTCATTCCTTGTTTAACATGTCAATGAGCTAATGACGCGGTCAAGTTTCTAACAACGGCATAAATAACTGTCTGCATAAGCCTCTTAATAAATCATTCTACGCAATATTTCATTCCAAGTTCCACATGATAACGAAATGATCATATGGTCACTATAGCAACACTGACGCATTTAGGACACATGATGTATACACCTTAAAGCTCTTAATAAATCATCCAATTCTACCGCACTGGCCAATGTATATTCTGCAACATTTTACTTCACACATGAACGAAGCCATGATGGTGATGGATGGTGCTACACCTCATGCATCATCATTACCATGCAATTACCCACCATGTGACGCTCCATTAACTATCAGTAACCATTACCTGTGCAATTGGCACTTTAATATGGGCATTAACAACGGCTCTTCCCACCCGTCATGAAGTTAAAGATGTACACGTCACGAAATACGTTTATTTAAAACATTAAAAGTATAAGAAAGCAATACAATATTTGAAAAAAATGCAAATGAAAGTTCAGTGCCTGTATAGTGAATAAAAGGGCACAAGATAAACATTCTTCACAATCTAACAAGTTTATTCGTGATGAAAATTAACTCCATGAAAATACAATAATATCGTGCACTCGAGCAAAGTTCAATAATTTATTCAATGTAAATGATGGCATGTGAAACCAATTCTTAAGATATCTAGAAATAAAATATGACACCTTTGTGGCTTCCAAGTATAAAACATGATTGGTTGAAAACACAAAAATTTTCGATTTCACTTCGCACGAATTTCAAACGATCGTCAGGATAATGCCTCGCAAAAAGAGCGCAATCGTGATTATCAACAGACA